AGAAAATACTGCTTTTTTCTTATGCCTTCAATCACACTATTATAAAAGAATATAAAATATAACATACTATGCATTAAGAATATAATTATCATATTCTTATATCATTATAATCTATTATAATATAAAAGAAAAGCTTAAAATACAGAAAAGAGAAAGAAGAATAGCATCCACAGTAATATTGAGGTAGCCACCATTAGGTGAATTTCTTTGTAGTCATTTTTCTTTGTATAGTTTTTATCAGTTTTACACGGTATACACACACTTTTGTATTTTGCTTTTTCAGTGAACAACATGAGATGTGCTTGAGATTCAGTTGTATTGCTAAGAGAATATAAAACACAAAGCCAAACAATGTGTACAAGTTATAGGAATTCTGGCCTCCATTCAATCTCCAAGTTCCCTTCATTCATTTAACAGGTGTTTATTGCAGGTGCCTATTTTGTGCCACATGCAGAGGTCGGGGCTGAAAATACAGAAGTAAGTAAGCCAGAGTTCTCAAAGAGAACCCTCAAAGAGCTCACAAACTCAACTTGGCAATTACCCTATGGTTTCACAGAAAGACAGGCTTACTGCATGAGTTTGAAAGTAATGAAATAAGTTTGAAATCTGGCTACTTTTAACGTCACCTTTTTGAGGAAAATTCCTGTATACACAAAGATTTATCTCAGACAACAACTGCAGTTTCCCACATTTGTATGCTTATCTTATGCATGAAAGAACTGCAATTCTTTTGCTCATTTTGTGGTATCTTTTTCAAAACTTATTACAATTAGTACTCTTTATTGGTTGTGAGGTCAGTTTTGTTTTAAAATCAATGTAAGAGCTCTCATTTCCTAAAGATGTGAATTTTCAGATTATTCATCATATTCCCCCATCCATCCTACATATCTGCATGATATATTTGTTTATGTGCTGGTAGATAATCACAGTCTACCAAATTTAGGTAGAGGATGTAAAGCACATGCTCCAATAAGCACAGATGTATATCCAAATATACAATGATCCTCATGCAACTGGAACTATTTGCATTATATGCATAAACATTAGCAGTTGTACCTGGCTGCTTTGTTAGAAAAATTTAAGTACTCCTAGTTGGTAATTTCCTTTGCTATCTTCCAATTTAAGTTTGGTTGCCTAAATGGTTTCTCGAGGTATGAAATAAGAGATAAAACAAGGTACTGAATCATAATTTCAAGCCTTCTGAAATATACCTGAAATGGTAGTAAGAGGGAGCTAAGAGCAGTGAAAAGAACTACACATAATAGTCAGAAAATCTGTTTTCTTTCTTTCTTTTTTTTTTTTTGAGATACAGTCTTGCTCTGGCATCCAGGTTAGAGTGCTATGGTGTCATCATAGCTCACTGGACTTCACACTCCTTGGCTCAAGCAATCCTCCTGCCTCAGCTTCCCAAGTAGCTGGAACTACAGGTATGCACCACCATGCCTGGCTAATTTTTTTCTTTTTTCTGTAGAGATGGAGTCTCACCTTTGCTCAGGCTGGTCTCGAACTCCTGACCTCAAGCGATCCTCCTGCCTTGGCCTCCCAGAGTGCTAGGATTACAGGCATGAGCTACAGCACCCGGCCCAGAAAACTCTGTTTTCCATATGAGTCTCTACCACCTTACTACAGGTGTGTTAGCAAGCTGTCATTCATGTGAGCCTCAGTTTTCTTATCCATAACATAGAAATGGTGATATTCTCACCAAACTTACAGCATTACTGGTGAGAAGCAAATCTTTGTAAAAATGCAAAACACTACATACATGTCTGGAATTAGGTCTAAAGATCATTAATTTATAACCATCTGCTAAAAAGCACAGCATAATCAAGTTTTATTTTTTAAAGGGTACTGTTCCTTTATACTTGCTTCTAAGTTGTCACAAAGGTTTTTTATATAAGGTATTGTGTTTTTCAAAGACAGCACCATAGTTTATCGAAAAAAGGTGCTGCTGTTACTAAGTAGTTGCTGGCAGAGGGCTCCAGAGATAGGTTTAGGAAAGAGATCTAGGGCAGCAAAACAAATTGGGTAGTAATTTGAGTTCCTTTTATTTTCAGATTGGGTTTAATGTGGAGAAATGCCTACTATTTTAGGTGTTTCTGCATCGAGAACTTAAAAAACTGTCTAATAGTTTTGATGTCAAACTCTTAGGCATGCAAGAGTCGCTAATGGTTTTAACCCCTGGAGACTGAAATGGATTTGTTTGCCAATGTTTTTCCATTAATGAAGATTACCTACCTAGGTCCCTAATGACATTTGTTTTTAACAGATCTCCAAATAAGCAGAAATCTATACAGTATAAATGAGAATAAACACTAATACAGTTGTTACCCTCTCCAGAGATCTAAAAGTCCATAGAAGACAATACTTTGAAAATGTTAGGTTTCTCTACTACCCTACAGGAAATAAACATGTTTTATGAAGTGTATGGGAAATTTCTTCCCTTCAACTGAAATTTATATGGATCGTAGGAATTTCTTAATGTACTTATTTTGACCAGTAAAAGCACTACCAAAGACTCTAAAATCAGATTCCTAAGGCACCGTCAATCTACAGGAGTACGCTGAGCACAGTGGCTCATGCCTGTAATCCAAGCATTCTGGGAGGCCAAGGAAGGAAGACTGCTTGAGCTCAGGAGTTTGACACCAGCCTGAACAAGAGTGAGGCCCTGTCTCTACTAAAAATATAAAAATCAGCTGGGCACTGAGGTACACGATTGTAGTCCCAGCTACTCAAAAGGCTGAGGCAGGAGGATCGCTTGTGCCCAGGAGTTTGAGGTTGCAATGAGCTATGATGATGCCACTGCACTCTACTCCGGGCAACAGAGCAAGACTGTGTCTCAAAATAAACAAACAAACACCTACAAGTGTAGTATGGCTTCTCCCAACTAAACTAAATAAATAGCAGCTGCCTTCCTAGCCTGAATACCTGAGTTTGTCAAACAATACGTTCTTTTTAATACTTTGCTTTTTTTTTCACTTAACTCTCCCATTAACACACAACAGCATCTTTCTCTCTTTTTACGACATCGTACTATTCCATTATGTAAATGTGCCATAATTTCTACAAATACTCCTTAATTGCTGGGCACTGGGTTATTTCCAATGCTATTATGTACAATATTTCGATAAATAACTTTGTTTATTTGGGTTCAATCTATCCACAGAATAGATTTCTAAAATGACGTTGCTTAGTGAAGGAGTAAAATGCATCTGTGATTTTGGTAGATACTAGCAGTTTCTCCTCCAAAGGTACTGAGCAATTTGCACTGCCACCGCATGTATGCATACGTATTTCCTTAAGACCATCTATAAAAATACACATGCCTGGAGCCACCCCCTCCCAAATTCTTAATAGATAAGGTGTTGGGCCTAAGCAGGTGTATCTTGAAAAAGCTTCCCAAAAAGCATATCCCTGGTTGAGAATCCCTGTTCTAAGTCTTGCTTACATTGTTCAACTCCAAAAGAAAGTCAGTTAAACCCTTAATCTACAAAGTTTACACTCCATAATCACTCGCTGAATAAATACTTTTTTGAATGCCTATTATGTACTGGGCACTCTACAGAAGACGGTGAGGATATAAAGATAATTAAGAAACAAGGTATAAATATCACTGTTAGAGATTTACATGGAATATTATGGGAATATTGAAGAGGGGTACTTCACCCTAACTGGAATGTCAGAGAAGGCTTGCTGAAAGAGGTGCCCCTGAGGTGAGCAGAGATTAACCAGATGAAAAGGAGAAGAGGTGTGCAAGAGGGAGAGGGCATTCTAGGTAGAAAACAATATATGCAAAGGTAGGAAGTAAGAAACAGAAGGAATGTGTATGTGAGTGGAAATATTTTATACTACTAGAACATAAAATACAGGGAGAGAAAAGTAAGAAATAGGCTGCAAAAGCAGGCAAAGATCAGATCGCTGAGAAACTAGTATGTCATGTTAAGAAGCTTGAACTTTATTTGGTAGGCCAAGAAAGTCACGGAAAGGTTTTAAAGGTGGGGATGACATGGTCAGATTACTATTTTAGATTTATAGATGACAATTGACTAGAGAAGCATATAACTGGAAAACGAAAGAAGAGTTAGGAAACCAATGCAGTAATCTAGATGAAGGTTTGAATTTGGGCAGGAGTTAAGGAGAAAATAGATGGAAGAAATCTTAAGAGGTAAAGTGAGCAAGCCATAGATATTAGATGTGTGGATGCGGGAATGATTTCAATAGTTGTCATCAACCCACTCCCAGCACAGTACTGAATTTAAGCTATTTTTCCAGCAGCAATGATAGATTTACACTGATTCAGTTATACTCTCTAATCTGGTTTTGGCATTTGTGAGGCCAGGGATAGATGTATGGAGTCCAGCAGAACACAAAGACAGAAGTGGTGAGGTTATCCTCATCAACATCATGCTTATCAACTAAGTAAAGCAACCACAGGCAACCCCGACAGGCAAGAATAACATGAGTTTTATCTCTGACATACCCTCTCTTATAACTCCTCCTCTATTGATGAGTCTCTTGACTCCATTTTTCTCTATGCCTATTAAGCCACTGACCTAGACAACTGCTAACGACATAAATAATTGCCAGCACAGGGAAGGAAATGTGGTTGAGTGGCAGCAGCATGAACAGCTACTTTCCTAAAACTTAACCTACCCTGGCTAAGCTGTATTTTGGGAAACCTGGAGCCTTGCCACCAAATGAAGTCAATCTTCACGAGTGAGATCTGGGGAGAAAGTCTCCTCTGAATCCTTCCCATGTCCCTGATTTATGCAAGTGTAATGGTCCTGTTGGTTTGGAGTAGGAAGGAGTTTTGTGTAATCCATATTAAACCTAGCACCCGTCTCTCTTCTCAGCATTCCTAAAAAGCAAACCGAAGCGAAACCAAAAACCAATCAACAACTATCAGATGAAAATTAGACCACCACTTAGAAAGTCCATGAATATACACATACACACCACATACACACACACACACACACACACAAAGTAACAGCAAGGCTTACCTTTCTTTTATCTTCATCTGTTGATTCAAATTTGAAAGTAGCCCTATGCTGAGGGGGAAAAAAGGGAAAAAACGTTATTTCAAATACACAGATTTTAACTTTGGGCCATGTTTAAAAATACATGAAATAATGTCCCTGTAAAAATGCTGCCTTCTCGTATCTCAACATTCTTATTAAAGTAAGAAAGACAGGCATGTAAGCAAATAATTATAAAGTATTGTGAAAAACTACAGCAGAAATGTATACAAAAGAGCATAGAGAACCAAGTCACTAACTGCCCAGGAAAATCTGGAATGTTTTGCATAGAGTATAGAGCATTTGAGCTGGACCTTGAGGAATGAATAGGAGTTTGCCAGAAGGCAAATAGAATGCATGCTATGGACAAAAACAAAGGCTCAGATTTGTGAAAATATATGACATATTCGTGAAGGAAGCAGCTCTGTGAGACTAGGGCACAGGACACATGTTTGGGGATGAGAGCATGAAGATAAGAATGGAAAAATAGATTGGATAGAGATTTGGAAGGGTCTTCCAATGTTGCTGAGGATTTATACTTTCTTTTTCAAATGCAGTAAGAAATCATCAGAGAATTGTAGACAGGCAAGAGACCTGACAGCTTGGTATTTTAGAAAATTCTGTAAGAATGAGTTTAAATCATGGCTCCACCACTTACTAGCTGTGACCTTGAGCAAGTAAACTCTCTATAACTGGAATTCTCATCTGAAAACAGGGGTTACCTAGGTCAGAGGGTGATTGTGAGGGTTAAATAAGCTAAGGCATACAAAGCACCATCTCAGCTGGTCAATACTCAGTAAATATTGGGATTATAATGATGATGATGATGACAATGATACTGAGGAAAAAATAAATGGAAGTGAAGAGAGAGTGTTATGATTCTCCTGAAATGACTGGCAACTCTATACTTTCCAGTGTAGCTAAGTAGAGAATGGAAGATAAAATAAATTGCCCACTGTCACAGAAATGGTGGTACCCAAAAAATAGAGCACAGGATTCCTCATTCTCCTCTCAAATTTTGTTCAGGAGAACCAAGTGCTCTTATGAATCCTAAGCCTTCCTTTAAAAAAAAAATCTCCACTGAACATCTCTCTAATTTTCCTTTGTATTTCTCTTATTAGTCACACATACAGATATTTATTGGCAACCCACCCGGAGTTAAGTACAACTAAGTACTAAAGATATTATCATTACAGGTGGTTCTGCATTGACAGCTATGTAGAAGCAGCAATTTTTGAAATTAAATGAGATGGAGAAATGTTGGCAGACAAATAGTTCTGAATGTAAGAAATGGTTAGAGGGAAGACTTGGAGGTAAGAGATAAGGGCCATTTGAGGACACCTAAGGGAAGCTACCTCCAATGTAGATGAAAAATAATTAAAATGGATGATGACCCAGCATGTTGGTTCCATGCCTGTAATCCTAGCACTCTGGGAAGCTGAAGCGGGAGGATTGTTCGAACTCAAAAGTTCCAGATGAGCCTGAGCATGAGTTAGACCCTCTCTCTACTAAAAATAGAAAAATCAGCTGGGTGTGATGATGCACACCTACAGTCCCAGCTACTTGGGAAGCTGAGGCAGGAGGATTCCTTGAGCCCAGGAGTTTGAGGTTGCAGTGAGCTATGATGACACTATTGCACTCTATCCAGGACAAAAGAGTAGGAGTCTGTCTCAAAAAAAAAAAAAAAAAAAAAAAAGGAAGAAGTCAGGTGGTAAGGGCACAGATTTAAAAATTTGTACCTGATCAGCAGAGAGGTGACAGGTTACCAGGGGAAGACTATGAGGCAGATGTGAACAGCATTCTGAAAGAATATTTTGGGCAGTAGCTCACAGGCCATATCAAAGGAGAACAAGACTGAGGACATAAAGCCCTGTGAAGAACGGGCATCAATATCCAGGCATGATATTACAGGTGGCAGTATAAATTGACACAAACCTTAAAAGGGAAAGTGATTTGGCAACACAGAAGCTGTAAAAATATTCATAGCCTTTGACCCAGAACTCCTACTCCTAGGAATTTATCCAACTGATCATTCAGAAAGAGAGAAAAATTATATATGTCAGTATATTCACTGCACTGTTATCTAATACTGTAGAAGAGGAAACAACCTGAATATCCAACAACAGGAGACTGATGAAACATGCATATAACAATATTCTATTAAACATATCATATCACCTGACAGAATATAGCAATTTTTTAAAAAGATGATTCATTGTTGGCATATTATTTTTATAATATAAAGGGAAATTTTAAAAATAAAGAATGAATAGCTGGGCACAGCGGCTCACTCCTGTAATCCTAGCACTCTGGGAGGTGGAAGCAGGAAGATCGCTTGAGGCCAGGAGTTCCAGACTAGCCTGAGCAAGAGCAAAACTCTGTCTCTACAAAAAAATAGAAAAATTAGCTGGGCGTGGTGGCTCCCTGCTGCAGTCCCAGCTACTCAGGAGGCTGAGGCAGGAGGATTGCTTGAGCCCAGGAGAAGTCTGAGGTTGCAGTGAGCTATGATCACGCCACTGCACTCTAGTTCCAGCGACAGAGTAAGGCCCTGTCTCAAAACAAACAAAAGAATGAATGAATGAATAAGCAAGGAAAGAAAGAAAGGAAGGAAAGAAGCAGCTGTAAATCTGAAGGCTATACTTAGGAATTTACAGACCTGAGGTTAGTAAGAACTAATATTAAAGACAAAGGTGTACCACCAGAAATCAGGCTAAAGGTATAAAGTTCGGTAAAGTTTCAATGAAAATGAAAGTAATTATACTAAGAAATCAAGAAAGCCTATTTTTGCCCATTATATGTGAAATATTAATTCCATAAATTATCTGGAATAAATGTACCTAGCTGTTAATATAATGGTTCTTCTAAAACTTTTTTTGGCATTTATGGTAAGGGGACGGGAAAAAAAAAATCTCTTTTGGAAAGATACCAATTAAGTTACAAAAATATCTTTTAAACAGTTCTTACGTAGAATTAATCTTTTAAGGCAAGAAATCAGAATAGTACCAAGGTCTAATTTTTCTACTGCTTTTTAAACGTAAGACTGTCATAAAATGAAAACATTAAAAAAAGCAGTAGCAGCAGCTTCAAAAAGCCCTGTCTAGAACTAGCATGAGGGCTTAATCTAATTTGAAAATATACTGGTATATGAGGCACTACAAATTGAATTCTGAATGTGCCAATCTATTCAGAAGCTCAACCCTCTTAAGATTGTTTAGATCCAATAGATGTTGGCCTCTATATGGCTGGCTTCTTTTATCCAACTTAGATTATACCTAACCTACTCAGCACCCCTGACCCTTATTCTCTTTCCTTTCTAAGGCTGAAAGAGGGAGAGGGAACTAGCATTTTCTGGATGTAAATGCCCTTCAAGAACTGTCAGCCAACAGTCAACCACCACCTCACCTTCTTTATATGCTTAACTTCCAGAGAACAGGAGTAAAAAGTCAAATGTAAATTGAAGAGTAAAATCATTGCTCAATTTAGAGACCAAGCAAGCCACACCAGCTTAGTGACACACCAGACTCATGAGGACTCCCCACTGTAGGTTTTACACTGTATGCTCTAAAAAGCTCAGGCTCAGGAGTTAGACAAACTTGAGTTTGAGTCCAGTCCCACTGCTTACAAAAAGTATAACCTTGGTCAAGTTACTCCCCTTTACTACCCATCAGATTTTCCTTATCTTTATGCATGGCACCTTGCATATAGTATTAATAGGTGTTCAGTGGCCATTACTGTTATTATTGCATGGCCTATGATGTGGTATCTGGCCATTTAAATACTGACGTATTAGAGAACTAGAAGTTATTTTACAGATTTCTAAAGATACACTCAAACAGCACTAATACAAAGGAATAAACCTAATTGGAGTGGTGTGTATTTTGCTGTGTTTCATGAACAGAGATTACTTCTAGAACTAAAAACCAGTAACAGATTATATAACCCAATCTGGAAATAAGAACAAAGTATAACAAAGGAACAGCCCACTAAACATGCTCCTCTGCAAAAACCCACAGAGTGAACTCAGAGTCAGAGCTCAATCTCAAAAGTGGAAAGCAAAAAGTCCTCTTACATGGGCCAGGATATTTGTATACCCTATTCAAATGTAGAGGCTATATTTATAGAACTGTCCCAATATTAGTTCTCTATCAATCAGGTTCTTCTAGCACATAAATGAAGATCTCACTGTTAGCAGTACAGGTTTCCTCTCCTATGAGGACCATTCTTGGAGACCTACCTATCTGCCTGTATTTTAAATAACTTTTACCCTTCCTCTGGCCATAAACTTGCTATACTTCCAAAATGGAATCCTGTTGGAGCTTGCTGCAGTGTAGTCATATGTCCAGGTGGCCTCTATGGCCACCAAGCCACCTCTCTGGTTATCACAGTTGATGAGTCTAGGTCTCAGTTTCTTCACTAATTAAAGAAGGGAGTTGTACCCAATTATCTTTGAGGTTCCTTTTAGTCTAAATATCCTGTGATTTAAGGAATCACGATTCTACTATATACCTCATGGCCCTTGATCTGTAAATCTATTATCAGAACAGGCCCTGAAGGAAGAGCAAGAACTTGGACAGTCTAGACGAGAATGATACATACTTCCCCAAATTAACAGCTCATTCTATAATTAAAGTGGAGATGATCAGGGCCTGACAGTAGCCAAAGGAACTCGTCGGCCTTCCATATCCATGGGTTCTGCATCTGTGGGTTCCATCCACATCTGTAGATTCAACCAACCATGAATTGAAAATATATGAAAAAAAAAATTGTACTGAACAGTGCAGACTTTTTTTCTTGTCATTAGTCCATAAACAATACAACTATTTACACAGTATTTACATTGTATTAGTTATTGTAAGTAATCTAAAGATGATTTAAAGTACACGGGAAGATGTGAACAGGTTATATGTACATACTACTATGCCAGCTTATATCAGGGACTTGAGCATCTGCAGATTTCAATATCCATGGGAGGTTGCACAGATAATGAAGGACTGTAATATACAGCTCCTAAAAAACCTTTCTCTTCTATGCACAAAAACAGAACAGACAGGGTAAAGACAACACAGCACTGCAAAAAGAGCCCTGAATATGGAATCTGAAGTCCAGTTCTGCCACTTCCTAGCTATATACCCTTGACCCATGTATAGAATACTTCCCTCTCCCTCATAAGTTTTAACATAAGAGGATTACATGTGATGACATGTGAAGGGTGAAAGTGCTCAGGATAATATATAGTGCATAGCGGGCACTCAATGTTTAACAGGTGAATTGAGACGAGGGAAAAACCCCTCTTCCTATTTTTTAAAAAAATACTTTCTTATGCTGAGTCTATTTATGTTATGTCCTTGACAAACAGACAAGTTTTGTTCTTTCTGTGATAGATTTTTCCCCCTCCCCAAGATAACAAGGGTCAGTGAATGAAGCAAAAAGGCTTGGAAACGAGTCTGTAACACAGTAGAAATCAGATGTTGTTTCCTAGAGCCAGAGAGCTAACTGTTGCTCTGAACATGGTACAAGATATTCTGCTACCCATTAGAAAGAGAAAGGGAAAGAATGGAGCATATTCCATTCTCAATATTCATATTGTGCTATGTTAACTCAGTGCCAGATGTTTAAATCCTGCTTTTTTAAATCAAATCTAACGGTTATGGGGTGCTTCCTCATAGGCACATATAACTCATTTAATCCTGACAAGAACCCTATGATATTGGTACTATTATTATCCTCATTTGGCAGATGAGGAAACTAAGCCACGACAAAGTTAAGGAACTGTCCTAGGCCACACAAATCATTAAGTTGAGGATCAAAGTCCAGGCAGTCTGGCTCTTGACCAGACTGTGTTCCTCTTGACCTCCTGAGCACCATGATCATTACAATTGTAACCTAATGAGCACCTCCTAGATGCACTGGGCCCAGTGTTTGGCACTATATTCCATTTAATTTAATCCTCACAATAATATAAAAGAATGGTGATATCATTCCTATTTTACAGATAAAGCAACTGAGACTCTGAGGCTTAAAATAACTTATCCACAGTTATGAAGCTAATAAATGGCAGAGTTGGGATTTGAATCAAGGTTTATCTGATGCCAAATCTCACCTTCTTTCCACTATACTTTGCCTCCTCCCAAAGACTAACTTCATTAAAGAAACAACATAGCATAAAGAACTTCCCTACTTTTTTCCCAAATAATGAACCAATCACTCTACATTATTCATTTCTTTCTTGGTTGGACTCCTCAGTGCCTATAATCACGTCGTATTCCAAACATTTCTCAAATCCATTTTTCCAGATAAGGAAATTGAAGTACATGGTATCCAGCTACTTTTTCAGGTTTTCAGACTCCATATACTGTAGAGCTAGGCAATTTAATTCTGCCTGCCCACTTATTCCCTGACTACTGTGATCACACTTCCCCTTCCCATTCATCTGCCCCCAAAATCTCTCCCCTTGAGGGGCAAATTCTCACTGTAATATGAAGCTCAGCTATTTTCTTTATATTATAATCAGCCCTACTATCATCAGCATTAAATACGAAAGCTTTCTTCTAAAAGAGCTTACCCATTTCACATCAAGTCAGAGCACTATCTCAGGCTTGGTCCCCAAATTACAAGTATTTGGGAATCTCCTGAAGCACTTCAGGAAACCACCTTAAACAATACACAGTGGGCATAATAACTTTAAAAACATTCCCATTATGAAAAGGGGATCTGGAGATGTCTAGGATTTAAGCTCTGACAGCACTCGGCCAGGAATGGTAAGTGGAAACCAACCTGGAGGGAGACAAGAAGAGATAAACTGGAGGAAGCAAATCTGGAGTCTAATTAGTTTAGCCATGAAGGGAAAGAAATATTAAAGGAGGTGATAAGATCCAGTTGGAGGTTTTTCTTCCTCCCTCCCCTATAGAAAAAAATGTCCTATTTATTGCTGGGTATCTGACATATAATAAGTGCTTAATAAACGTTAGTCGATTCAACACAATGGCCAAATTCTCTGTTGTATTTTTTTCTTTTGAAAATCAGTTTGTACCTGCCTCACACCTTTTCTGGAAAGCAGTAATAATACATACGGTTAAATGATTATAATCTGCATACATACACTTATACATTAATTTTCTCTAAATTAGGCAGATATATTCAACAGTAAATCATATCAGAAAGTGAAGGAGCTAAGATATGAATAGAATAGGACCTGTGCATTCTCCCAAAGAAAGTAGCATAGTATTATAGAAAGAGTGCTGGACTTGCAGTCAGACAACTTAGATTCAAATCTCAGCTCCATCTCTTAGTGGCTGCGTGGATTTGGGACTACGCTATCATCCTAAATTTTAGCATTTGTAAAATAAGTTATACCACTATTCTCGTCAGAGGATTGTTGGGAAGATTATATGGGAATGAAGGCTCTTCATAATTGAGAATTGTGTTTTTTTTTTAAATAGAGATTGCTTTTTGTTAAAGGACTGTGTCTTATTTTTTAATCTTTTCCATCCAGGGCAAAAATGGCACACTGGCAGCTCAGTAATACAAAGTGTATGAATGCAGTGGCGGGCACACAGCAAACACAGAAGAGGAAATTATGAACCAAGGCAAATGAAAGAAAGAAAGATGTTACATCTAGGGTGTGACTTGGTGTTGGATGTGTTTTCACAGAAGGGAGTAGTCAGTCATTCCTATAAAGTAGTCTTCTAAACCAAAGAACAAAGGTGTGGTATGTTACCTTTTGAAGTTAGCATGTAAAATTCCTGGAAGGAAAAGTAATGAAGAGCTAACGGTGGAAAGAGATTCAGAAAAGTGGCTGGGATAAATAACAAGATACTACTTTACTGCGGAGTTGTAAAGTGGAAAGAACAATGAATGAATGGGTAGTTTGAAGACCAAGGTTGGAATACCGGCTCCAAGTATGACCTTGGGCAAGTTACTTAACAGATCTAGAGTCTCAATTGCAAAATGCAGATAATACCTCACAGGACTGCTGTCAAGATTAAATGAGACAATGGATAGGAAAAGCTGTTAATGCGAAACAAATAAAAGGTATTATTAGGAGTTAGATTCTCCACCCACTTACAACATAATATGTCCATGACCTTGGGCGTGATTTCAGCTCTTTGCACCTCGGTTTCCTCATCTATAAAATGGGAAGGATGATACCATCTACCTTATAAACACTCTGAGGATCAAATGAGACCATATATGAGACATCACGCCTTGAAAACTGTACAGTGCTATAGGTATATAAAGAACTGCCATCGTTGCTGATACGTTGTATGCATGTCAAGGGATGTGTTTATGCAGAGAAGCACGTATTTTTATGCTATATAGGTGAGGAAGCCTCGCATGCATTTATACATCCAAGAGTGGGGCACAGGGCATAGACGCACATCTATGGATTCCGGGGGTGTGACTTGCACGCTTGAGAGAAGGACCGTAGGACAGGCTGCTGGGCCAGGAATCAGAGGAGTGGGCGCAAGAGTGGGGGCAGGGGGATGCAGGATGCAAGGATGGAAAAGGCTGGGGGCATAAACACGCATGCCCAAGCCGGAAACGTTTTCGGGGGAGAGCAATGCGCATCCCCGGAATGAGGGGGGTGGGGAAGGATGCGATGTGCAAGCACAGAGGGCGGCCGGGGGGGTGCGACACCGCACGCCCGGGGCCAGGACTCTTTACCTTGTCGCTGTAATCCCTCAGGACCCGCTCGATAGCCCCCGCTTCGCCGGCCCGCACGATGTAGAGGGCGCGCTCCTCATCCATGGCCGCAGGTGCGGGGGAGCCGCGGCCGCTCCGCGCGCCCAAGCCGCTGCCTCCAGGTAAACGCCTCGCGCCCCCGCTCGCTCGCTCCTTCCCAGCTTCCTTCCTTCCCTCCTTCCCTCCCTCCCTCCTGCCTCCAACCCGCCAGCCTCCGCCCGGGCAGGCCCGACGTCACCGCCCCTCAACTTTCACCCCGCAACGTCACCGCTCCCCCAGCAACCGGCGCCTCGCGGCCGCCCCCGACAAGGCCCAGGACTAGGTCAGGGCCTGGCGAGCGCCCGAGGCTGAGTCAGGCCGCGAACCCTGCTTGCTCTTCTTCCCTCGGAGAAGAGTCCAGTCTTTTTAGTGAGCTTTCACAGACAGAACGGTTCTTCTCCCCTGAACCTGCTTTATGAATCATTCTCCTCAGCGGACGCGAGCAACCCAGTCTTCCCCGCCCATCTGCGAGCCGTCCGCTAAATGGACTACAATTCCCTGAATGCAATGGGGTCGTCCCATTCTTCCATCTGATTTACTGGAGTGCCAAGTGGCATGCTGGGATTAGTAGTCATCTTGCGGGAAAGACTTCCCTCCAAGGGCATGCTGGGAACTGTGGTCCTGCGAGGGCCGGAAACGGGAGTCCGGCGGCCGCCTGAGGCCAGCGGAGGAGGGACCGTTAGGGGGAGGGTCTAAGGCTCTGCCTTCGTTTTATTCCTTGCGCGGCCGACTGTCCTGCTTCAGCCTTGGCTAGTTGGACCAGCTGACCGTCGCGGAAACTGCCACCCTTTGGTGGGAGCTGTCAAGCACCAGTTTAATTCCCTGTTTTCTCGTTTAGCGTTTTCGGTCTCTGAAATTCTTTCCCTCCTCCCTTGTTTGCAGTCTTGTTACGTATTCAGCTACAGTAATGTGGGAAATTGAAGGCAGTTATCTGGATAAAAGGGGACTTGGCGATTTTTTACGTTAATACTAATCTCTGCCATGCATCTTGTGCCGACCGTTCTTCCGACTGTTAGGTGGTTTCCAGATGGCCTCTAATTCTCACAACACAGATTTTTGTGGAACCAAAAGGAACCCGGATAGTTTTTGTAATTTGTAAGTAATGTGTCCTAAGTCACATAGCCAGTAAATGGGGAAGTCAAGATTTGAAACCAGGCCTTTCTCCAAAGGCAGCTGCTCTGCAACCACCAGTAAAAGTGATAATACTGCTCCGGTGGTGGTGATGATGATGATAGAAGCTCACGTGCCAGGCACTCTGTTATATACTTCACCTGTGTCAGCTCAATCAATTTCTCACAAATTCATTCAACAAATATTTGAGAACCTGTGCTGTGCCAGGCACTGTTCAATGCAGTGTGGTTACAGTGGGCCCAAAATAAAGTTCCTGCCTTCATGGAACTTCCATTCTAGTGAGCAACCATCTGAGGGAGATACTGATATTCTCGTTTAAAAAGGAGGAAACTGAGTCTTGGAGAGGTTAATGGATTAACGTATCAAAATTTTAGGTTTTAGAAACTGAATTTGAACTCAAAGGCTGTGCTCTTTCTGCTCTCCCAAGCTTTTTTGGTAGAGTGGATGAATTCTCCAAGTAACTTCTAGTTTTCCACTTCAAACAACCTTTACTGGTAATCTCCTTGATGTCTCCCTCCCCTACCAGTCTCTGCCTCTTGAGCTGGGCTAAAAAGGAACTAGAGGGGGCAAAAATGTATTCATCTAATAATTGAGTTTCTCCTATGTTGTGCCAGATATTCTGCTACACACTGGGAATTTGGAGATAGAAACAAACATGGAACCTGAGTTTATGGAGCTTTTGGTCTTTCTGTGGATTATGTTTTCCATGCAGCAAACATTTATTGAGCATATTTGTTGAGCCAGGTATTGGAGTAGGTGCTGTGTCTGTAATAAATTAAATCAGAATGATTTTAATCCATCTCTCAAAAATGCACACTCTTTAGAAAGGTTATGGAATGGTTAGCTACATTCCTAGGGTAATAGTAACATCTTGCAACTTTTTAACAGTTTACAAAACATTTTAATATGCATTATCTCAATGGATCATGGGGAAGGTGGTGTTCCCACTTTATAGATAAGGAAACAGGGTCAAATGAGTTAAGTAACAGGAACCGAGACTCAAACTGGGAGCTGATAACATAACAAAGTATTTGGGTGCCTACTCTGTGTCCCGTACAATCTTAAGTGCTTTTTGTGTAACCATATATTTATTTTTGGAGCAAAGGTCTCCTGGAGAGGATATTAACAAGCATAAAATATCTTGTTTCAGTAGCGATGTTTCTCTTAAAGAGGGTCTTACTCACGTCTTTGAAATGTCTGTTTGCCAGAAATAGGCTACGATTTTAGGCTCCAGCCCTGTACTTCTGAAAAGAGATTTTAAAAATGTGAAGCCACATGAATTAACAGCTTAGGAAACTGTATTTTAGTCATTTTAATTAAGTGTTAATATTCTGATTTTATAAATCAAAAGGCTCTTTGACTCTAATTCAAGTCAGCTTTTAACCACTGACGAGACTCTGGTCCCAGAAAAATTAAGTGGCTTGCCCAAAGTCAATAGTTCAAAGCAGGCTCTGGGATTAGAGCCTAAACTAGCTGAGTCCTGGGTCACTACATCACTTTACCTCCCTGAATATTAGTTATGTGATACTTTCAGTGACTAGGGACTCTAGTCCAGCTCTGATTCCAGTTCCTGTTGATTCTTGGGTGGCACGGTACCAAGGAATTAGGATATAGCCTGGGTAATCAAGGCAACAAATATACAACACGTCATTGCTCTAAGAGATAGTAATGTAATAACTGTATATGTATATATGGATAGTACTTTACTATTCTCAAAATATCTCCACATGGATTATCCAATTTAATCCTTATGGTAGCTAAAAAATACAGGGTCAATAGGACAGGCGCTATCTTCTTTTTTACAGAGAAAAGGGAAGTTCAGGGTGTTGATTAGCTTACTCATAAGCAAATAAGTCTCTAATAACTGGTTAAGGGCTAGAAGTGCCCTGGGCTCTGATAACATAAAATGTTATGGACTTTCAGGTTAGGGCCAATGAAAAAGCCTGCAAATAGATACTAGTTATTTATTTTGAACTTTGATATATCCTGCTGTGGCATTTCCTCTTGCCATGACAATGGGCTAGTTGGAATGTGCCAGATTGAAGGTCTTTAAGGAGTAGCTAACAGCTTCTAAAATTCAGCTCTTCTACATATGATACTTTTTATACATTTTTCTCTAGAAGAAGACAGAAATTTAGAACCTAAACATATCAGTCTAGTTGCTATAGCTCTAGAATTGGAGTTCAGAAAATTCCATTAATTTAAGATATGACCTGTCACTCAGCAACCACCACCTCACTATGTGAGGCCACTCACTCATCCTCTTATAAACCAGTGTCCTCACCTGTAAAACCAAGGGATTGATTCAAATGTTGTTTTAGTTCCCTGTCAGTTGTAAAATTCTGTGATTCTAAGAACAAAACCACATTTGAATATGCTAATTCTTTAGAAAAATCTGTTAAGAGTGAGGATGTGAAAATTAATATATGGAAATCAAATATCAATATGATATGTGCAAATCATCGCTTGGGCATACCTGCGAAGATTCTGATTCAGTTGATCTGTGGTGAGGTCTGGGTATTGGTAGTTTTAAAAGCTTCCCAGTTGATTTGAATGAGTAACCAGGACTGAGAACCATTAGACTAGTATTTGAGTATCCACCACTGAACTAGCTTTTTTATAGGCTACCTAACTTGTGCATGTAACTCATTAGTTAGTCTTTGAGAAATCAGAATAATCTGGCAAGATGAAAGTTATTTTTATTTCATTTTCTACCAAGAATGAAGTCTCCCTTTCATAGCAACATAGTTTGTTCCTTTAACAATATTTAATGTTCATTGGAGCACAGCATTGTCCCAACTACCATAAAAAATAAAAACAAGTGGAAACAATTGATCCTGTCCTTTGGGAATATAAGAAACAACCAGATAATAAATGATAGGAAAGAACAAATTGAACACACTGCTGTGCAAATAAAAACAAGATAATCAGAGGCCGGGTGCGGTGGCTCATGCCTGTAAATCTTAGCACTCTGGGAGGCCGAGGCAGCTGGATCGTTTGAGCTCAGGAGTTCGAGACCGGCCTGAGCAAGACCCCCCTCTCTACTAAAAACAGAAAAAATTAGCTGGACAACTAAAAATATACATATTAAAAAAATTAAAAGATGTGGAAACAACCCAAGTGTCCATCAATACATGAGTGGATTAATAAAATGTGGTATATGTATACCATGGAGTACTATTCAGCTTTAAGAAACAATGGTGATATAGCACCTCTTGTATACTCCTGGATAGAGCTGGAACGCATTCTGCTAAGTGAGGTATCCCAAGAATGGAAAGACAAGCACCACATGTACTCACCATCAAATTGGTATTAACTGATCAACACATAAATGCACATATAAGAATAACATCTATTGGATGTTGGGCAGGGGGGAGGGGGGAGGAGGGAGGAGGGGACCGGTATTTGCATACACAAAGAGTGCAATGCACACCACCCGAAAGGATGGACATATTTGAAACTCGGACTTGGGGGGGGTGGGCAAGGGCAACATACGTAACCTAAACATCTGTACCCCCATAATATGCTGAAATAAAAAAAAAAAAAATTAGCCAGGCATGGTGGCGCATGCCTGTAGTTCCAGGTACTCCGGAGGCTGAGGCAGGAAAATCGCTTGAGCCCAGGAGTTGGAGGTTGCTATGAGCTAGGCTGATGCCACAGCACTCTAGCCCTGGCAACAGAGTGAGACTCTGTCTCAAAAAAAAAAAAAACAAGATAAGCATTAATGGGAAGGGGAGTAATCAGAGAAGCCTTCTTGGAGGAGGTGAGCTATGAAGAGAGAATGGTAGAGAGAGTTTAGAGGGCTCCCAGACAGCGGGAAATGCTGTAAGAAAAGGTGGGGGGGCCCAAATTAACAAGATGCTTATTGAGAAATAATACCAACTTAGTTGAACTTA